AAAAAAATTTTAAATTTTAACACCAAGTACAAAAATTAATATAGAAGAATTTAAAAGATAAAAAACAAAGACTGAAAAAATAAAAAAATTCAGTTTTATTTCAACAAAATGATACAAATGATGTCATGAATTCAACAAAAAGTATTTTTGTAAATTCATTCAAACTTTATCATCTTAGCTATCGAGATCGTACTAACACAAGAAAATTTATATTCTATTTTTCATAGGGAAAATACTGAAAATACAAGAATTTCATATGCAAATATAGCACTTTGTATGAAATACGATTGTTAAATTTGTTTGTGATCATTTAATGTTGTTTCAAGATGTTTAAATCTTTTATTCACAGATCTTCGCCTATTATTTATTTTAAATCGATCGATATCATCAATGTCTATATTTGAAAGATCAATGTTATGTATTAAATCTTTTATTTATTCATTATTGAAATGATTACACAATGAAAGTACTTGAATGTCATCCAAATATGTATGAGATTGTTCGTTATTAGTATTTAAGTCTATTTGATATTCATCTGAAATTATTGGATCATCATCGAAATTTTTTGATGGAATATTAGTTACTGTTGTACATGTTGTTTCATTCATAGATCGATTTAAAGTTATAGGTGATGGAATTTGAGAATAAAAATGATAACTATTTTCTCTAATAATTGGAGGTTAAGTTGAGTTTAGCATTTGCTAATTGATCAAAATTTATAGAAATTAATATAGATAAAATAGTAACAGATTTTGTTGCAAGAAAACATGGAAGAAACATGATTTTTTTAAATAAATATTTTTTTACCTAATATGTTTTTTATTTACTTCATACTAAAAGAAGAAAAAACTAAACAAATTCATTACATTAGAAGAAAGGCAGCTTCGTTTGTAGCATGAATGTAGGTAGTAGTTACGTGGTCTTTTCAGAACTTCGAAAGCACTTTATTTTTATCATAGTAAGGTATTAGAGCTTATTGTCATACCTATCGTTGAGTCTCTAGCCCACCTATGAACTTGTATGAATTTTATTGACGAACAAGTTTATAAAACAAAATTCACACTAAGTACTTTTGTTTAAAGTTTTATTCTCACCAATATGGATATCTTATTAGATATTATCTGAAAATAGTAAAACCTGTTTTGTGTTTAGTGAAATTTTATTAGAAAAAAAATTAATCGATGATTTCTAATTCAAATCTTGAACTCTTAGTCGTTCACTTATTATAATATCAATTAATTTCATGATATAATAAAAATATGGCCGATTGTAATCAATGGTATGGTGCAAAAAGGAAGAATGAAAAAGAATAGTTTTAGATTTTATACGTAATGGCCAATCTTTATAATAGGATTTCATTTATTATCTGTCATTAAAGATAAAATGTTAAATAAACATGGTAGAATTATTGATGATAGTGCAATTTGGACTTGCATAAATTGAACATCATTTGCCTTTTATTGTTTTAACCATCCTCACATGAAATTTTAATTATAATTGAGATAAAAAATATATTTTTGTCTTCAACAGCGTCATAATCTTGAAAAATTTGACTCATTGTCGAATTCTTGAGGCATGGGTGGATGTAAATTCATCTTTACTTTACCCAAGGCTTCATCCATACCTACACCTATACTCACCCCCTCAAGATATGCTTATTTTTGTTCGGAGTAAACAAATATAGATTTGAGACTCGCATTACTTATCTGACTTTAAACTATGACACATTTTTACTTATCAGCTCTTATACAATACAAACTCTTCTCTTTGCTTATCTTTATAATCTTTTTCTTATATTTCTTTTAGACATGCATTCAGCACAAATATTTATTTTTTGTTTCTGTCTCATAAAATCAACAAACTAACTCATTTACAACATGACTATGATTTGCGACTTTTATTTACACATGGAATTTCTCCATGTTAATAAAGAAACTGAGTCATAAGATGATATCCATTTTTGAAATAGTATATAAGCACGAAGAAAAATCAGATTTCTTTGAGGCCTTCTCATCCGCAAAAACTTGTATTCATTTATGAGCAAAATGAATTTCAAACTACGAAAATTTATCGATGAAGTTAGATATCTCGATGTGAATTATAAAGATATAAATCTTGAAAAAATCTATCAGGTTTTATTTGATGAACAATTATTCTATATTCAACATATTCCATTTCGACGGATTATTACAAACTACTTACAATTTAATATAAACTATTCTGGAGAGACAGAAGCACACTCACTTATGTGGTATTATACAGCAGATTATAAATTGATCAAAGGATGGAAAACTTATTCATTTCGTTTTCCAAACTTATGTGATTCTGATTTATATGAAACATTTAATGTTAAATGCTATCGTGTATTTTCCAAGTCATCAAAAAGGCGGCATAGATCAGATGATTGGTATGTTTATACAGGAAAGAATTTATTAAAACTTCTTGGTCAATATTTACATATTCAAAACGTTGTTCACGTTGATTATATTCCTATAACAAAATTATTCGGAAATCCAGTATCGAAAAAGATGGATATATATTTTTATTTTAAATCAATTAGCACAAAAATTGCAATTACATTCGAACAAGGACCACCTTCCCGTTCATGTACCCATTGATTTATGTTTCATTGACATGACTGAAATTTCTTCATATAATCCTGATATATATATACAGTCATTTTTTTATAACATTTTTAGTTTAGTAAATAAAATTTGAGAAAAAATCAAATCCACACCTCCAAGATGGTTTTACATAGAAGTACCATTTGTATTAATTATAAATGTTTGAATAAATTCCGTTGATATATATAGAAGAATAATGCTTACAGCTGCTAATACAATAAGTAAACCAGGAAAAATAAGTAATAACAATGTACGTTTACTTGTTGGATATAATGAAGTATTAGTCACTAATTTTACTGTCGGTTCTTGATTTTCATCTTGTTCTGTATATAAAAGTAAATCTTTTCTTTTACGAATTGCTGGTGGAAATATAATAAACCATATTGGCGGAGTTAAACTATAAATATTAATAGAAACAAGTGATATGTACCATAATGACTGTATAAGATTGTTTGATCTAATCCGAGTTAATCGATAAACAATACCAGCTAACGCAATTAAAATATAGATAATATGAAATAAAAACCCTTTTGTACCTAAATTTAGAAAAAGGTTCAGAAAATGTTTTCGTTCTTCATGTACTGATGGATAGGAACGTGTAGGAATAAACTTTTGTGGGATATTAATAAACATCGATACTAAATTACAAAAATAAAATGGTGCTGTCCACACTGATTTTTGTATCATTCTTTCAACTAATTGTAGTACACACAAACAAGAATTCATCTTTGGGGTTTTTGTATTGTTTTCATCAGTAATATTAATACTATGACAATTGGATAAATTATATCCATTCGCAACATCATAGTACATAACATATAGAATAAGTCTATTCGATATACATTGTATCCAAGTTATTAGTAATGTTATTTTAATTATAGATGTGTTCTCTAGTAATAAATAAGGTAACCGTATCCATAAACCAATTAAGATTAGTACTAAAAAATTTAATTGTATTACAGAATAAATCATACGTATACCAAGTGTAAAATAAAGAAAACGTTGAAAAAATGTCATACGATTTGTTTGTTTATTAAAAGAGAATAATTCACGAAAACGTCGGTAAACTACTTGCAAATTACCAGATTCCCATCGTTTATATTGTTCGATTGTACCTATTAAAGAATCTGGTGTCAGACCAAATTGTAGAGCTTCATCGAGATAAATGGATTTATAACCCAATTTATGAACTGAAAATGAAAAATTGAAATCTTCCGTGGTACTATACGGTGGAATACCGTTTATTTCATCGAGAACAGATGATTTTATCAACATGCCAGAACCTATGACGAAACAAGTACTATATTTAAGTGTGAGTATGAGTGTCGGTGAGGATATGACGCGAGCGTAATATCCATATCCGCCTACCCACACCATCAAATCATTAATTCATACCTATACAAGTTGAAGATCCATTTTTCGAATCACAATGTAAGAGCAATTTATTTTGTCCTATTAGTCCTTGACATAATATATCAGATGAGTTTAAATTATATAAATTCTGTCCTATTTGTATATATGCCACTCGATCATTTTCTTCGAAATGAGGTAACGTACGTAATAAAAATTTTGAATGTATTAACATATCGACATCTTGAATGAGTATAAAATCACCTAATTGTCCTACATGTCGTTTGATTTCATTTAAACCATTATTTATATTTCCAGCTTTATAATAATGTGGCTTATTTTCCTCTTTAAAACGACGTATATATTTGACTAGAGGTAATCTTTGATATATTACACATATTTTTGTTATATATTGCTCCATGAATTCATCTTTACCATCATCTAATATCCATATTCTATATTTATTTTTTGGATAATTTAATGCTAATGCTGATCGAACCGTATCCAATAATATATCAGATGGTTCATGACAACAAACAATAATAATGTCAACTAATGGAAATTTTTCTTCGATTGATTCATTTCCCATTGTCCATCGTAAACGTTGTCGTTGCTTGATAGACACCCAGAACGGCAAATGTGTTATTATACTTGAGAATGAAAATAAAAATTCACTAAATATAAATATAAATGGTACTATCCGTTGATATAGTTTTAGTTCGTAATGTTTGATTAATAAATCCTGAATTGAAAAATATAATCGCCAAATAAAAACGAAGGAAATAATTATTATATATGTTAATATAGCAATCCGTTTGTAGATATTATATTTTAATAAGAATTGATTAATACGTCGTAAGCACATGTTTAGCCAAAGAATTTTGTTAACAACAAATGAAGTTTGCTTAGACACAATGCATGTAGTCGTGCGTCATAGGTTTTGTTATTTATTTTTATTACATATGTCGATATTAGTGACAAAGTACATCATACGTTCGTGTCCACATGGTATTTATGTATTGCAAAGTATAACGTAATAAAACTTGTATGAGTATCAGTGCATTAAGTAGAAATATTTTCCTTATACTCCGATTATGAAGTACAAGTACAATACCTTTTATTTAAATGCAAGGAATGAATATTTTCGAATTCGAAATTCACTTCACAATTATGTTCTTTTATTTTTGATAATGATAATGATATATCAACTTCATAAGTATTAATAGATTACGAAATAAAATCTTTTAGTGGTCAGTAACATATCCAATATGTTAACATGAAAATCTTAAGTTTACATATTATTATGTCATTAACAATAACAAATCAATCTATGAGTATCAGATTACAATAAATCGAATAATAATGAAGATTAGTTTGAATAGAAATATATACAACAATGATTTCCCAAGAGATAATCCAATGTAATAGTACTATTTATATCAATCAATGATTTGATTAATTTAACTAACATTGCAAAAATGTCGAATATGACAAATATATGTGTAGTTATTAATGGCTTTATAAATAATCAAAAGATATATATTTCTGTAAACATTTAACTTTTCTTTTTCGGAATAAAATACTTTTAATAACACACAAAGAAGAAAAAAAACATCAAAACCACTGTCGAATCTATACAAATGAAAAAACAAAATCAAAGACAAGCATCATTTTTATTATTTCGTCTCAACATTGTTGATTCATCTGTAAGTTCTTCATAAACATGTTTAGCTGGACTATTATTTGCTTGTTCATCGGAACTAGTCGTACTCATTACTGATGTTGAAGTCATTTGTTCTTTATCAATTCCATTACTATATTGTGATGATAACGTTGTTATACGTCGTGCTGTTATACTACTACTTAGTGATGTATCAGGCGTATGATGAAGATGATGATGATGAAAACAACAAGGTGGTGGTGGAGGTGGTGCTGTTGGTAATTGTTTTAAACCTCGATGATACCATGATTGATCGGATTGTAATGATGGAAAACATGTTTGACGACAAGTTTTTCTAAAATGATTATATTTTGATGATGTAGATGATAAGACTGAATTTGAATAAGTTCCATCATCATCATTCTTATCAATATATAAATAATGTTGTTGTTTTTGATGAGGATGATGAAATATGAATGATGTTGCACGTCGATAACGTTGTCGTTTAGAACGTAAATGACAGATAAAGGCTAATGTCAATAGAAGACCTGTCGTGAGAATTGTACCAAATACAAAACCAAGTACAATCGAACGATTGGTAAACAGCATGTGAACAAATGCTTGTTTAGATAGAATTGTATTAGATATTGTTGTTGTTATTATTGTTCGTGTTTCTCGACAATATTTATCTGTACCATAAGTCGATCGTGTTAATAGTAAACAGATATAATAATTTTTATTTGATGGTATATGATGAATAGTATATTGTTTAAGATATGGTGATATAAAACCTGTACGTCGAATAGTTTGTGTACTAGTTGATGATTCATGTTCAAGAATAATTTGAAATTTAATTAATGTTAAATAATTTGATGATAACGTTGAATCAAAATCCCAATGAATAATTAAATTATCATTTTCATAAGTTGTATAAAATGTTGTTAGACGAAATGATGATATTTCCGAAAGATTTTTTACCGATTGAATCATTTTATTTTCTAAAATATAAAACAGATTCTAATGATGTAATCAACAAAAATTCTTCTGATGTCAAAATTTTAGTTATGTTACTAATAAGGATGAAATAATTGTACTAAATTTGATTATATAAGACATCTATCTAACTACTACTAATTGCATTTGCTTACTCTGTGTTGTGTTTCTCTTTGATTGTCGTATTGATGATATAATATTACTTCCCACAAGATCTTTTGTATATTGTTGAATTCGTTTAAAATGACTCACTTCTCTACAATTATTTGGTAACTCATTAGAACATGTTGACAGTAATTGTTCATAAGTTAAATCTTTTAAAAATATATCATGATATAATAATGGTGTTGAACATTTCGTTTCATTTCCAAATGGTTGATTAATTCCAATAAGTTTTGATTTATTAACTAAATTTTCATCAAGAAAAAAAGCTAAACGACAATCACAATGTAGATGTGTTATTTTCTTTAGTAATAAATTAATATTGATATCACTTTTTTCTAATGTACATATTGGATTAAATGATAAATCATAATTATTATGAATATGTTTTAATTGAACGTAATTTATTAAATTATAACTTAAATTAATATTTAATGGATTAATTTGATTAATATTAAATAAATTTTCAATAAGATTATGTGAAAGATCTAATGTATGTAATTGTGACATTCGATTAAATATATCATTTGGTATTATTCGTAATTGATTTGATGTTAAATTTAATATTTTAATAGATGATGAAATAACTGAAGAATTTTTATCAAAATTTAAATATTCAATTTGATTATTCGTTAATGATAATTCATAAAGATTAGGAAGTTTATATAAATAATTTGATAGAAAATTAATTTGTGAATTTCGTATAATTAATTTTTCAAGACGATGAAATTTTTCTAAACAATGTTGATATTGATTAAAATTAAAACCAGATAATTCAAGTATACGTAGTTTACTCCATGTTCCATAACAAAGAAATTCTAAACTTCCATTTGTTAATATATCAACATGAAGTTCTTCAAGATAATTAAGTATATTATTATTAAATGATTGTTTATCAATCGATTCAATAAGATTTTGTTGAAGATAAATTTTTTTTACTTTTAAATTATTAAATGATTGATTTGTTATATTACGAATAAAATTATATGATAAATTTAATTTATCATGAATATATGAACGTGTAAATTCAGGGATAATTTCGATAGAATATGGTTGACAATGAATATAATTTGTACCATCAATTTCAATACCGCAATAACAACCAGAACGACTGTCAACTGTTTTTAATGGACAAGATTTAATTAAGGAAATAAATAGAAAAAAAAGATAATAATAAAACATGATCTAGAATAATATAACAAGTCGTTATTCTCTTTCTGTTATCAATGAAAGAATTACAGGTGTATTAAAACACAATCAATATTCTCGTTTGATAGAACTAGGAAAGACATAACAATAAAAATGAAAAATGAACGAGAATCGATTAACTTTTCTGTTATAATGTCTCACATTGTGAGACTTTCTCATTAGAATGATGTCGCATATTTGACATTTCTATCAAACATCATATCATAATGCTAACAACAACATACTGTCTCTCCACCCTTTTCTTTTGTTTTTATATAAGCAATATTTGTCTACGTATATATACGTATGTATGTATCAAGAATGACTGGAAACTAATGATGAAGAAATAAATACACTGACGGGTACAGAAATCAATTGAATAGTGAAGAGTCTACATATTGTTGATCTTGCAATACAACAATTTGATTTATATATAAAAATAATATGTAGAAATAAAAGAAGAGGAGATGTGTATTGAATAATCAAGGGGTAAATCAATATTGAAATAAGATGAAAGAAGAAAAAAAAAATTCGTAATAGAAGACACCGATTATTACCTAGTATTATTGCTTGCGTGCATGTATGTATACATATATATTTATATATGTATGCGTGCTTGTGTCGATTTGATGAATACAAAATGTAGATGAATAAAACGAATGTTCTATAGAGAATTCATCTAGTTATTAACTTCTACAACTGGAAATGCCAATAATAGCATTGTTCGTCGATGATGAACAGATTAAGCATTACTGGCTTTTCTTTTTTTAGATTATAATCAATGTCGACGATGAAAGGCTACTACAGACGGCGGGATGTGTAATCGATTCTTTCGCCGCTGGTCATCCATATGGTGGTAGCCAGTTGAATTAAGGTCATGGTCAAACAAGTGTATAAAGCGGAACTATTCAACAAAAGAGAGAAGACATGATAAGACAGGATAATTGAGATGATGGTCAACAAAATGGAAACGCCTCAAGCTATTTAACTATATTTATATATGGCACTATCAATTTGTTTTTTCAACAGTTTGACCTAAAAGGCAATAAAAAGCGTATATATATATATATACAAATTATCACTCATCATTTCCATATATACATACATACATTACGATTAAAAAATAAATTAAAGATACTCACCCTCTTATACATTTTAACAGTAAGAGGAGAAGAAAAAAAGAATAGAATATTGCGTCACGACAAGCAAGTTGTCTCTTCTCTATTATTTCTTTTTTCAAGTATACGAAGCGAAACTGTCACAAATCGTGTTCATATGTGTATACATCGTTTAGAATTACTCGAATGAATATTCGAGATAACATAATACACATTTATTTGAGAGCAGTATGACAGGTTTGGTGCGACATACGTATGCACAATTTCTATTAGCCGTAAAAAAGAAAGATCTACGATCAAACGATAGAATGAAAAAAAGAAGAAGAAGAAGAAGAAGGAGAAGAAAAGAAAGTAGACAAAAAAAAAAGAAAATGTGCATCTTTTTAAATATCGTCTATATATTTGAAATGTTATTCCTATTATTGATTATTAGATATGACACACGTTCGAAAGAAAATATTTAAAAAAGTGATAAAAGCCAGGTGAGGGACGCAAGACATGACAATCTTTCGTTTATAAAAATGTGATTATCATCATAATCATCATTTCTTTTTACATCATTAAACTTATAGAGCGTATTCGATACGCACGGGTGTGAGATCAAAAATCGGATATATTATATATTATAGTATATAGGTTCGAGTCGTGCGCAGTACATATCAACTATATATATCTCACTGTATGTATGTATGTATATATATATATAGTGTCGAACGATAAAGAATGAAAGAAAATAGGAATAAGTACTACGGGACTAAAAAGACATACTACGATGTATAGTAGTGATTGAATGATGAAAAGATCGATAGTCTATATAAACATGCAAAAAAAAATGAAGAAAAGAAATGTATGGGAAAGAGACTATAAACTTGTATGATTCTATTATTCTCAACTTCTGTTTTTATTATGTTGATACAAGTAACATACTTGTGATTTTCTTTTTTCGTGCATTTTGTTGGATCTGATTGAATCAATGACGACGATTGAAAGAGTGAGAGAGACAGAGAAGAGAAACAATTAAGAAACAAAATGAGACAGTGATCTTTATAGACGTGTACAAGGATCATGAATAATAGTGAAGACGATGTTCTCGTTTCTCTTCAGTAACAAAAAAAAATCACAACAACAACAGCAACGTTACAACATTAAGACCTTAAGTAGGTCTGAGCCGATGAATTGACGTGATCCCACGCTCAACTAACGTTTGCTAGTGTTGTACAGTCAAATAGAAGTGAGAGATAAAATGTCAAGTAAATCGGAAACATAAGAAGTCAAAGATGAGAAAGAGACGACCATTTGAGTAAATGGATATACTATAGGATGATATCTCAGGAGAATTTTGATCACTCTTATATGTTCTCTCTTTCCTTCTTCTCTCTCTCTGCTCAGCATCAACTATTTACAAGGTTATTCTCTCATATGATTACATCATTTATCTACTAGGCGATCCATGAAAAAGAAAAAAAAACTTACTATCGGACTATCGTCACTTCTTATATTACTCAGAAGTATCGGTGTAGATATATATGTTCACATATATAAACATCAATTAGGGGATAAAAGATACTATGGAATCAAGACGTTCACCTTGACAAAGTAATAAGAGAGACAGAGAGAAGAAAAAAAAGAGAGATACTAACACATTTAATGACTGATCTGTTTACAAGCAAAACAACTAGTGAGATCAATTAGGAGTCCATTTACGAATATAAAATACAATAGTGTGATATGCTACATTTATTTTCTTCAATGTCAATAAACTAACTATGATTCAAGTATATATGTGTTCACAAGTCAATTTATTTCTATTGAAGAAGGTGATGACCATCGTCATACCTATGTCTCAGCTTGTATTCATCGTATTTTATACATGTATAAGACAGTGATGATCGATTATAACCATGATTCGATTTTACATGTATTCATGTATATTGTGTTCGAATGATGCAACCTTCAACACATGAACAATTACGTTTATAAGTGCTTCTAAAATATCCTTCGAAATTTAATTAGAAAAACGTCGAAAGAAAGAGTGAGAGAGAGAGAGAGAAAAAAACGAAACGACTAATATATGCTTATTTTCTTTTACTTAGATATCGATCAAATACGACATTATGTCGTGTGAATAGCATAAATTTATCGTTCAATGAACAAGAAATAATGATTACGACAAGACAACTCACTGATTTTTATATTTTAAATATGATTTAAGTGAGTTATCATTAAAAATTATACGTTAAAATTATTTATGCTTGAATTTATAGTTTATCAATTAATAGACTTTAAGTTTTTCTATTTAAAAAAAAACATTCCTTTTTTTGTACTTACAATGGAATTGATACATTCATATATTTTTATCAAGCAGATGCTCTTCCAAATCAATCATTATCCTAGATGAACATAAACATATCATCACTTTATATGTCAATGATCAAAAAGCTAAACGTATTTAGGAGTCCATAATAATTTCATTTATTAAAAGTAATGTAAGTATACAAACTATCGCTTTCCAATTGAATTTCTATATGCGTTTACCCTTGAGAATTGTTAAGTGAGAGAATACTTAATAATAGAGTATTAGTTGAATTATTATTTAGTATCAATATGAGAAGTATACTTATAGCTCGTCGAGTCATGCTGATGTTTCTATATTACTACTTGCTAAAAAATGCATATTAAAGGCTTTGAACTGTGAAGGAATACAAAATTAAAGAGTATAGATGATCGATAATATTTGTTTTATTCGAAACTAGACTTTTGTTTTAACGCAGACATCAATATCAAATTACTTTCAATGTTTACTTTATCCTACAGCACAAAAAATTGATGTCAATTAAATCATTAATAGAATTGTCAAGGCAATAATAATGAGTGATAAATTAATAAGATATCCTTCAAATAAACGGCATGATTCAGAAATATGATTTTGTTCATACGTTATTATTCGATGAAATATTTGTTTAATACTAATTGTCATTTTTTCTTTAAATAAATATATACTAATTTATTTTATTCTCTTTTTTGTTTATCAAAACTTTCTGTGAATCGAATTGAAAAAGGCCTCTTATAGAATATTTGATGTGCAAAATCTTTAATCGTTATTCTTGTAAACGAAAAATCTTTTAATAATATTCAATATCATCTTTTTATGCTTGATTGCATATTCTAGTAGGATGTTCTTTGAATATAATAGTTAATTATAGATTTATTTAAAATATACGGAGTTAATAATGTGAGTTTTATATGAATTGAACCTTTCTCTTTAGCATCCTGGTGTGAAATAAATTGATTATATGTACAATCTGTTGTTTTCATGTGAATTTAAATGAAAGTTCGATTATAGAAAGATTTTACATAAGTTCAAGTGTGCTGATACACTTGGCGAGAAAACAATGATTCATAAGAATCGAACAGTTTTGTTAACTATTCCTTCCTGTTACGTAATTATGAAACCTTTGTAGTTGTACGATAGTTTATGGTATTTTTCTTATTCTTGTAGTTTCTCTTTTGTTTATACAGATTCAAAATAGTTATAAAAGAGATTCAGCGTAATATGATAAATTGTTATTAAATATAGCATCATTACATTTCACATTTATTAATAAAAACTAATTATCAAAATATAAGGGACTTTCGTAAATTTATCTAACAAAAAAAATGTTCTTAACTCTTCTTAGTACATTTATTCAACATAATTAAATGAATTTTGCTCAAGTCAAAGATTAACTTATTATTTCATGATTATCATTGCTGATAAGCTTAAAATAGGAAAAAAAATAATAGAAAAAAATGAAGTTGTTTTTTTCCTTTTCTAATTTGACTCGTTAGGATATAAAACCAAGAAGGGTGATGAGTTTAGCGAGAGGGAAAAAGTGGAAAATAATTATTTTCACTAGGATCTTTTTAATGTTGATAGAAAAAAGAGTAAGAGAAAGAGAGAAACAAAGTGACATGCACCGAAGAAGATAATCTCACATATAAAAAACAGTCATTTTATATTGTTGTAGACAGAACACAATCAAATTCAAAACACTGAAAATGCGTCGTTATCAGTTTTATATAATCGCCACTATTTTTATCTTATCTTTAATTCTTAGTTTTCAACATCAAGCAAATGGAAATCCAATCGATGATGTTAATACGGTAAACTCTTATATATACGTATATATAGTTTAGTAAATGATTAATTAATGTTTACAGGTTTCATCATCAACAACAGTTTCAACAACGAAACTTAATGAAAACAAACCAGATCCTTCAGGATTATCTCGTTATTCGTACATGAGACCTTTCATGTTACCATTTCCACCAGCACCATTTCCTGATTTACGTTAAACAACATATGTAGAAATTACAAGATATCATATAACTTTTGATATAAATTCTTTTCTTTTTATTAAATTTCTATTGAAATTTGATTGTAATGTCATAGTTAGTAAACTCATTTTAAGAATAATGAAAAAAAATAAACTATTGAATCAATTGATATACATGTTTAATTTTAAAGAAAACGTTTAAACACTTTTTAATTTAATATGAAAGTAACATACATGAAAAACCTTGAACATATGCAGAACAAAACAGACATCGGTAAGAATGATTCTTTTGTAGCATTGTGTATTGATCGAGGGATTTTTATACCTCATTTGTATACACTTATATCATCATTTAAGAGATTAATTGATGAATTTAAGTCTAGATAACTGCATATATAAATAAAGAAATCTTGCAAGGATATAGTTGTATTAATAGTTAATATCTCAAATGAGATCTGATGTTTGTAAACAGACAATAGAGGAAGAATGATAATAAATGCGGAATTAAAAAGCAGATGCATCATCTCTACCACTTACACCTTGAATTTTAGTACACAATGCGCTGAAAGTATGAAAAGATATATGGCTCGTCATAGCTGTTTAACACGACTGATACAGATAAGCAATCTATAGTTAATAGTAATTTATGATTGATCTTATGTTGTTTTGTTAGTAAAACTAGAAAAAGTTTTTGAAATAATTCATCAATATAGAGTTAGGTGTTTCGAAAGCGACTATGTCATATTTCGGATGAATACATAGATTTATTTGGTTGAATTATTTCAAAAGTTAATTTTCTTTTTGAAATAATGAGAAGATAAAATATTCAACAGATTGAATGAGACATGTTCAAGTGAGATGCAGCACGATTGTAAATGTCACATTGATATATTTACTTGTCCTTCTATCATTCCGAGACACCGAGCAATATCAATAGACACTTCATTATATATTATAATGATACAAATAGCGTCTCATCGTCTAGTTTTCAACATTTTTCTATTAATTTTTTCAAGATTCTTCTTTGACACTTGAAATTATCTTTCAATTTTATGAAGATTCATATTATTCTTGTAAGCTGTCACTCTTAGTCGAAATACCTTTGCATTTCAAATAAAATATTATACTTTCTGTTGTAAGAAAACTTTAGTCACATATATTTCATTATAAATACTGAAGGAACCTGCATTGTTTTTTTTCGAATACTATGACGTATCTAACATATGACTTGCTGTTTTAATGTAATTGAAACTGATAAATTTTGTTGAATTTTCAACAATGCTTTTTTCTTAAATAAAAAACTATGAATTTATAGCATGATTTCATTTCAATTTTATTAATACAAATTAATTATCAAAATAAGGGACTCTCCTAAATTTATTGAACAAAACAACATTCTTAACTCTTCTCAGTATATTCATATCAATTTTCATTCAACATATGATAAAAATAAAAAAACAACATAATTAAATGCACTTTTCTCAAGTCAAAGACTAACTTATTATTTCATGATTATCATTGCAGATAAGCTTATAATAGAAAAAAATGAAGTTGTTTTTTTCCTTTTCTCATTTTACTAGTTAAAACAGTAAAAACAAGGAAGATGAGTTTAGCCAGAAGGAAAAAAGTGGAAAATAATTATCTTTACAAGCATCTTTTTTTATGTTGAAAAAAAAAGTATGAGAAGAAGAGAAAAGAAGTGATATGCACCGAAGAAGATGATCTCACATATAAAAAACAGTCATTTTATATTGTTGTAGACAGAACACAATCAAATTTAAAACACTGAAAATGCGTCGTTATCAGTTTTATATAATCGCCACTATTTTTATCTTATCTTTAATTCTTAATTTTCAACATCAAGCAAATGGAAATCCAATCGATGATGTGAATACGGTAAACTTTCACATACATATAATTTAATAAATGATTAATTGATGTTTACAGGTTTCATCATCAACAACAGTTTCAACAACAACATCAAATGGAGATCAATTGAGTCCATCAACATCACCCTATTATTTTCGTATGAGACCATTTATGATGTTTCCATTTCGTGCACCAGTTCCTAATCTTCATTAGAGAATATATGCAGAACTGAAAACATACTCGTTACAATTCTAATGAAACCGTATTATTTTACTAATTGTATAAACCCGTTCATATAGTGATGTCATTCTTTGTAAACTAATCATAAGATTGATGAAAAAAATAAACTATTAAATTAATAATTAAAATAAATATTTTGTTTTACTTAAATACACATGGCTGAAATCTAAGATAAAAGAAGGATGTGATGTCTCATATGATGGAATATATCGACTATTATATTCTTACGAATGTGAAATATGAATATTATAAAGAAAGATTAGAATGTAATATTATTCATAGATAGAGGTGTAAGCCGGTAGAGTATTCGGCGATGGCGTAGATTCGATATTTCAAGGTTGCTCAGCCGCACGGCTTTCACCTCTATTTATAGATATAATATAGATTTCATTTGCTGTATCAATAAAAGATCTAGTCGAACACGATGAGTTTTGTATTGAAATACTTGATCGTAAAGAAGGAAATAATAAAATGTAAAGTTGATCTGAAATGCTATGAAGTATTCCATTTCAAACATTATATATAAAGAAATAAAAACCTTTTAAATATCGTGTGAAATATTTCATATAAAAAATATATAGAGTTTGATAAATAGATGATCGAAATTCAGGCAAATATTGTGAAAGTAAGATCAAAAGATACCTGTTGGAATTAACTATACTTGTCCTTCAAAGTATTTTTAAGTTTTTAATTAAAAACGTCATTATTCCCATCAAAGCGGGTATATTGATTGTAATAAAATCTATATTATCTTACAAAACATTAGGTTAATACAAATGTGATAGTTTCAAATATCAGCAAGCCTAATACTTAAAGCCTTCCCATTTCTCAAAAAAGTTAATTTTAGTCAAAATTTGATTGAAATACATGGGAAGATAGCTCGTCTTCAAATCGGTATCGTATTATTGGACAAAACTTTTGATAAGTTTTATCCTCTACTTGTTAAGAAACAGGCTTTTTTCAATACGGTATCCGAAATTTCTGTCTAGATTCGTTTCATATATATTAAAAAACGTTTTTAAGTGTTTTACGAGATCTTCATCTTGTCATCCTTTTTTTTCTACTTAAAAAATAACAAAAATAAAAATGACTCTAAACTGCATTGCATTCTGACATGCTCTTTGAGAGTAAAATAAGCTATTTTGACCGGTTGGAGGATTTTAACAGGAATTTTTCGTAAATTTCATGTTCTTAAAAGATTTTCATCTGTAAAAGTGATTGAATATTTCTGCGAAATCTCAGCTATAACTGTCATTCAATTAATCATCTTTTGCGTCTAATATCAAATAAATTTTTCGAAGAGCTTACAAATAAAACAGTAAAAATAACTAATACATAATTATTGTTTTATCGATAATGAAGGTTCTACATTAACTAATATTAATATATTATACATAAACAATATGAATATCAAGGTTAATCATACGAGGGAAAGATATCGATGTATTTATTTGCATATAATTTGCAACCTTTATTTGAACTGACATTTTATAGTTTGTAAAATGTCAGTTCATGAATATATAATTGTAGTCATATAGATGAGTGTAACTATTTTACATCGATATTTTCGCCACAATAAATATATAAATAACTACAAAGAAATGATTTTTTAGAAGGTATTTCACAATGGAATTAATACTATTTGGTATAGATAAATGATATTAACTCCCCTTTCCCCTAATAGAGAATACGTGTCCAGGTTAACTCGCTCTGATATAAGCTATGAATGGTTGGTTATAATCTGTCCTATATAATTTTCTTATCATATAATGATTCGAAAATATGTACAGACAGTTTAGAGCCGTAGTTATTTACTTTCAAATCAAAATATGTATGATAGTTGTTTTTTATGCTCGATTAATTACTTTCTCATATAAGTAATACTCGAACCGTTTCCTATTTTCATATTATTGGTTATGGTTTATTGATTATGTACATCAAGAAATGATAAGTTTCTCAGTAGTTTTGCGAAATAATCGTTCTGTTTGCCTACAGAGATATATATTTTTCTTCGTCGTCGTCGTCCTCCTCTTCTTCTTTCCTCGCAGTCTCGCATGGCGATAATATTAGTAAGGAAATTTCTTTTATAACATGCACACACGTTCGTTCTCTTCTTCATAGATTGCCTACATTTCTTCTTAGTTTTTTTTCTTCTCCGTTCGGCATGGAACGCAGCCAAAGTGGCACTCTATCTCCATCATCATTACAATCACAACGACAACAACAACAACAGTTGTTGATTGGTTATATTCTCTCACGAAAAAAACTTTCAAAACTTCGTTTTGATCAATTTTTACTGCTATGTAAACAATCTCATATAGATACAGTTGAACTAACACATGATTATTTCAAACAATCAAATGTTCGTATTCCACAATTAATAATTCATAAACTCGAAGATGATACAAAACATGATTCACTCAATGAAAAAATTCGTTCATTATCAAAATCATCAACAATAATCCTCGATGAATTTGAATCCATATCAAAAGTATTAAATCGTTATAAACAATATTCATTATTAGATTCAGGTAAAAATCATTATATTGTTCCACCTTTTATTCATGTTACAAAAAATGATAATGAATCAATGATTGAAAAAATGTTAATTAATAATCAAATATCATTTCCGATTATGTGTAAACCAATTCAAGCTCATGGTGGTAAATCACATGATATGAAACTTATTTTTGATGTCGAACATTTAAATGATATTGATAAACCATGTGTTTTACAACAATTTATTGATCATGATGGCGTTCTATTTAAAGTTTTCGCTAGTAAGTTAAATTTTTCGTATTATAAATGATTCATTTTTCTATATATTTAAGTCGGTCGAGATAATTATCATATTGTACGAAGAAATTCTATACGTAATCTTCATGATCATCCATCTCGAGATACAATATCATTTCATTCCAGTGAAGTTTCAAGTTCTCAAGCTGCTCATGAACTTTTATCAACGAATCAAGCAATAGATATTATGTTTGATCATACAATTGTTAATACAATCATTAAAACCGTACAAAATTTATTTGAATTAAATCTTGTCGGTATTGATATATTTATTGATCGAAATACAGGTGATTATGCTGTTATTGATGTTAATTATTTTCCAGGCTATGAAGGTATTACTGATTTCAGTACACAATTATTTCATCTATGTCAACATTTACTTCAAGTTTCCTGATATAAAGATAATACATATATATATATTTTTGTTTTTTTATCGTTTTATATTCGATAAAAGAAAAGAAAAAAAGCAGAAAAATGTTTAATTTATAAATTTTTGATAGTAATCAGCTTGTGATGAATGGGATATAGCTACACCAAGTACTAGAGAAGAAATTACACCGAAGATTTCGATGAATAAAATGCTTCCTAGTACACCAGCGATGATAGGTAATTGATTCCATATCCAAATGGCAACAGCCGGTGCACATCCATCGGAGTAAGGAAAAGCAGATATTGTTTTAGATGGATAACATGATTGAGGAATTTTATAACCATATCTCGTGTAATCAACAGGACCATCAACACCACAGCATTTGAATTGCCGTTCCAAATTTTCGATAATTTTTATTACTTCAGTGTTATTTTGACCATATCCATGTTGAAATACTTCCATAAGACCAGAATCATATGATCTATATAAAGTATTACGAAATACCAATGTTGATATTACAGCAGCAAATTCGAAAAGTATAATAAGCGTAAGAAACAGGCAGTATAAATAAAGGAAACATCGATTGCGTAAAATAGCACCTAAATAAAATTTTTAAAAATACTTTATTGTTTTTCTTTTTCTTTTCAACATACCTAAACAACCAAAAGCAGCTAACAATGCTGTAAAGATTCCGACGATAATTAAGCCTGTTGCAACCCATTGCATGGCTTCACCTCCTAGTGCTTCTGAAATACTGTATATTTCTGCTACAGCACGAAAGTTTCCATTGACTTTAACATATATTCCCAGACCCATGACAGACAAACCAATAAAAAGGAATATAATATTTATGATAAATAATAAGGTGCGTGTGCATTGAACACCACAGGAAAGTTGAACCATTTTTGATAATGTTTTTGTAATGATGTAACTGCTGCTACTGAAGTAATGATAACAAGTGTGTGATTTAGGTCTCTTTATATAAAGCAAAATAATCGTATTGTTGACTTTGATAACATGAGAAAGATAAAAAGAACTTTAAAATGAGTAATTCTAATGACAATGTTTTTTAAAGTTATTACTCAACCTAAAATACATTTGAATCATGTGATACTTTGACCGTGATACTAAAAATATATAGCTACGTTTTAGGACAAAATCAAGAAGCAAAACAATTCATCAAAGCATGTTCATTACTATGTTAATATTTAAGATTTTTTACTATTTTATAATACGAAACACACGATATTTATATGTCATTTTAAAGAAGACCAATAAGTCTTACAGCACGGTTTCTTTCTGTTCTTCTAAAATAATAAAATACGAATCTGATCAAATTTCCATCGTTTATATGATTCAATAAATTGTATATAACTCGAAAAAGCAAACTTACTGTTCAGTATTCAGATTCAAATAATTAGTAAAAGATGTAACAATATTTTCATATGCTTCTTATTAAAAATCAAGATAAGAAATATCTCTTGCAGCTTTTCATAATATCAATAATGCCACAAAAACGGAAAAAAGACATGTATATTTAATCTAAAATTTTATTTTATTTTTTCAATATAATTTATTACAATAGTCATTAAATATTATAACGAATTAGGATGCATTCCATTGAGTAATCAGACGGCTGTTTCATGAAATTTTTTGCCATCAAGTCTTCCGTAGGAATAATGTGAAACAGCAGCAGCCATTGCAAATGAGGTGATAACTCCAAAAATCTCAATAATTAATATTGCAGCAACTATACCACTAAGTATTGGTACTTCATCCCACATCCAATCAATAAAAGCATCAGCACAACCTTTTCCAAATATAGGTTGAGTGAATGATTGATCTAAATAACATGATGATGGTATTTTTTGGAGAACTTGGAAATAATCACTGAAACCATATACACCACAACATTTAAATTCACGTTCAAGCTCTTCAACAGCTGCAATTAAATCTGGTCGATTATTACCATATGCATTAGTAAATACTCTCCAAAGACCAGAATGATAACTATCGCGTATACGAACACGTGAACTCATCATAATTATAAATGCCGCTAATTCCAAAAGTATTAAAATACTAAGAATGATTCCATATAAATAAAGGAATATTCTATTTTTCAATAGTGCACCTATAATATAGAATTAGTTTAATCTATTATTTTACTTTTTACTTACCCAAACAACCAAATGCAGATAAAAGTACTGTAAAAACACCTACAATGATCAAAATGACACCAGCAGTTTCTATTGCTTCTCCACCAATAATCGCTGTACTGATATGTTCTGATAAAGCAATATCAAATTTTTTGCTCACTTTGATATAAGTACCAAAACCAACCAAACAAAAACCAAAAGCAAGAAACGTTATGTTCAACGCAAATAAAACTATACATGTAACTTCTATTCCACAAGAGAGACGAGCCATAGTATACGAAATATTTTTGTATGAAAACAATGTGAAGATTTAGCGAGACACAACTCATCTTGAAAAACTAAAAGATAACGGTCATGAGTTCGAGATAAAATCTGAGAAAAAGACGAGTTATCAACAGACACATAATATATTCTCAAAAAAATTTAATGTATTAAATCAATTTTTAAAAAGAAAATTTATTGTGAATATATTCATTTATTCATCATTCAAGTATTAATGATGTCATTATATACTTATTTCGTTTTTTTTAACGCATATTTTATAGAAAAATAATTCTTTTTCTCGTTATCATTCATAGTAAATGTCACAATATTGCATTTTGCAAACATCAGAAAAAAACCGAAAGATATTCTCATCTACCGAAATATTCAAGTATTAGAATATTGAACTTCTTTGTATAATTGTGCCTATGTTGCTTTTAAAAATAGATATGCCGTACTAAATCTTTTTTTTTTTGTTATTCAATCTTTTTGATATTAATCATGTTAGTTTACGATTAAATACCTATACTGTTGCAAAGTACATATATATATATATATGTTAGCATAATCATTGCTGTCTCTTTCTGTCGTTTTGAAAAAATAAAAATCAGCCATTAAAGGCCGTTCTCTTTCTTGCCTAGAAAATGTCAAATTCATTCTCTAGTATGGTTGTCGATATTTATACCGTTCTAATAAAATGGCACCTGTTATCGGCAGAATTTCTTCGTTTTTTTTTTATTTCATCGTTATTCAAATATACATGAAATATATTTTACTTAAAGTTTTTAAACATTTTCTTTTCTCTCTTTTCAATCATGAGATTAATACAAATGTTGATTGAAATACATATATATATAAGAATAAATAAACATTACCAATTATAAATTCATATGAAGTACATATTAAACTATTTGATTTTTTTGTTCTCGAAATATGATGTGTACAGAAAGGAGGAGAAGGAGGAGGAAAAAAAGGAGAAAAAAAATTAATAATAACTAACACGAGATGTAATATCGTTCGTTGACATACACAGGTGTGTGTATAAGTAAAAAGGAGAGAGCCTAAATGATGTTTATTTTCAAATGAGAAAAAAAAGAAGAAAGAGTCAAAATTGAATCATGCTCTTTTACTATTCTATGCACAAAAAAAAGAGAGTAAATTCATCGATTTTTGTAGACGATAATCGTCTTTTTTTCTTGTTCTTCGAGTTTTTTTTTTATATATTCAAAAATAGAGAATTCACATAAAAAAAATGTATATACTCTTTTACTCGATTTTATATAAGTATAATCTATGAGAATAAATATGGTACTAGAATGATTTTAACTACAACGAAAGTCAAGTGTTGTATGTATATTGTAATTTATTTGTTATAGTTTGTGTTTCTTTTCTATTGAAAATGTGTTGAGAATATATATAAGATTTTCGAGTGTATTATTATCAATATATATTATTTAAGAATTTTTTAATTATTTTTTTTCTTCTTAGAACTTCAGAAAGAAAAAGTATCATAGATGTGATAGTTTTTCTGTATATAGAAAAGAAATGGGCGTTACTTTCATTTTCTCACATATGCTATGAATCGATCTTATATATATATCTAAAACAGTATATTGATCGATTGTAAACAACAAGAAACGGAAATTGAAACGTTTGTTCTGTTACTGCTGCTGCTGCTATCAAATAGAAAATGAGTCGTTTGATTAAAAGAACGATCGATTGAATATATGTACTATGAATACAAAAAGTTAGTTTAATTCTTCGATGAATACATATAATAAAATTTGTTCATATGTATAGTTAATTTAAAACAAGAAACGTTTGTCTTCTTCCGCTATCATATTGTTCTAATAATTCTCAAATAGCAAGAGATGAACCGTTAAAAGTTGATTATTTATCAGCAAAAGAAGAAGAAGACCCATCGAACGTTGTCCATCATCAGTTCGCTTGATTGCTTTAAATAAACATTCGATTAAGCCTTTTTTTCCTTTCTGTCTGTTATGTTTTCATTTTGTTGAAGTGATTGCTTGTTTTCCAAGATTTATTATTTGTATCATCAAATAAGACATGCTATATTAGTCCATTGCTCTTTCTTCTTATTCATCGAGAAAAAAAAAGGAAAAAGAATATCTTCATCTATAATATGTGTATATCTATACGTTATTCTTTGGTCTGATTCATTGTTGCATCACATAGTCTATGATACAAGTCGTATGGGGAGATATTTGAAGAAATGATATATCAATGGATATGATTATAGAATAAGAAAAGGAATATTATTATGTCACGAGAAAAAAAACAAGATTTATTTGTTTTTCTGGTATAAAAGAGAGAAAGAAGGAGAAATTTGTTTCTACTTAAATTATCTGATTTATCACATATGTTGAAGATATTTCCTTAAGATAGATAAGATCTTTTATATAAAATGATTTTCTTCTTTATCTTAACCTAATTTATTCTTCTACTAACGACTTTTTTTTTCTTTCTTGATAATATCATCGAAGAATTTTACGAATTCGATCTTTTGATCTTGTTCTTCTTCTTTTTCAAAAACAACAACAAGAAGAATAAACCAGATGTTGATCATCTTCTGTCTCATTTTTCAATTAGATCTATATGTTGCTTCTGTTTGTTCTTTCAATATACGTGTTTTTTTTTCCTTATACACATATATATATATGAAAATATCGGGCAGCAGTATAACGCGTGCCTGTTAGACGATAATGATGATGAGCCAACGGGGTTGTTTGATTTCGAAAGAAAAAGAAAAAAAAGATGGGCGTCTCGCGTTTTGCTTCTAGTAGTACCAATAAATAGATGAGAAACGATTGCAAGAGAGGGAGAGAGAGAGTTTGCTTTTTCTCATCCTCATATAGAACAAAACTAATAAATCTTCCTTCTTCTCGTATCCTGTTGTACATATATCTTCTTCTTTATTTTTTCTCTCTCTCTATTCTTTATCTCATCATTTTTTTTCTCTTTTTGCTTGATGATGATCATTGAAGACGAATATAACAAATTGAAAAACGAAGATTCAATCATGATTAGTGATAATAATAATTTAACTGTAAAAGAAGATGAAATTAATGATTTATCAATATCAAATAATAAAATAACGAATAATGAATTATTTAAATCAGCAAATCGAAGAAAACAATTTAAACCAAATCGGTAGATTAATTTAACAAAAAAAAAACATTTTTATCTTATTTTTTTCTTCTTCTAGTGTTACAAATGAGGACGAAGAGGCGATTCCTCAACAAGAATTAACTACTGGTATGATATATTATTTAATAATTAATTAAAAAATTTTTTTTTCATTAAATAGATTTAACAAAAGAATATATTACAACTCCTCCTGCTACTACTACTACTACTACTAGCAATAACAATAATCCTCGACAACAACAAGAAGCTTATTGTAATTTATGTGAACGTTCATTTTGTAATAAATATTTTCTTAAAACACATTTTGCTAAAAAACATGGAGGATTAAATATGGTTTCACCATTATCATTAACAGAAACAAATGATAATGTTAATGTATCTTTGTCTCCACCATCACCATGTTTATCAAATGAACAATCAATATCTTTAATGACTAATCAACAATCATCTCCTATTAATAATACTAAAATACCGGAAAAAACTAGTGAAGATTATTGTGAAGTAAAAAAAACAAAATGAAAAATTTTATTTAATAAAAATATATTTTTTTTCGTCTATTTAGATTTGTCAAAAACATTTTTGTAATAAATATTATCTTCGTGTAAGTTAAATTCCTATATTTGTCGAGATTACTTTGTTTAGAAATGTGATGTTTAATTTTTCTTTATCTAAGGCGAATCGATATTTTCTTTTTTGTCGATGTTCTAATATAAATATTGAAAAGAAAAGAAGAAAGAAGACATTGTATTAATAGTTGAGTGTATATAGACATATTGAAACGAGGAGAGGGAGAGAGAAGAGCTTATCTGACTTTTAATAAGCTTATTTATTCAGAAGCGCAAACGAATGAATTTCAATTCACATATCAATGTTTATTGAAAAGAGAAAAATAAACAGTATATTCCTTAATGAGCACAATTTATTTTTGTTTTTTTAGAAACATAAAGGTGAATGTCATGGTGTTTATACAGATTATATAAAATCTTTACAAAAAAGTACGAATGAAAGTCCAATTAAAACAAATTCAAATCGATCATCGTCTATTCAAAGTAAATATTTTTTGGTCAAGTTAAGTTTTAACTTGACCAACTTGTTTTATAGAAAAATTTTGATCGAATTTTTTGTTATTATATTAGTTCCATCAAATTCTTCAAATACACTTTTATTAAATCCATTTTATCCAGGCCCATCAGATATTAAAAGTCTTTTTCCTATTCCGTCATCACCTAATATAACTATTAAATCATCAATGTCACCAAAAACTTCGACACAACGGCCAGTTCGTCGTTGTAATATATGTGAACAAGAATTTCGTAATAAATCACTTTTTCGTATGCATATGAATACATTTCATCCGAATGAAAAAAATAAAAAAATTGTATCAACACCATCACCAATATTATCATCGAATAATCTTGGATTTTTACCACCATTTGTTGATACAAGTAGTCAACTTGCTCAAAAATTAGCTACTGGCCAAACATCTCAAACATCTTATGGAATTGTTAATGATTCATTTTTTTCGGCGAAAATGGCTGATAGAGTTGTATGTGAAATATGCAATAAACAAGTTTGTAATAAATATTTCCTCAAAACTCATAAAGGTAAAAATAAAACAAAAGAAATTTATATATGAACTGTTTTTTTTGTCTATCTTAGCTAAAGTACATGGTATAACAAATAATGAAACAACGGAACAATTAAATGAAAATATTGATAATTCAGATAGTTATTGTTCATTATGTAAAAAAGATTTCTCAGCAAAATATTTATATTTATTTCATATGCAAACAATACATAATGATACATCGGATCCAGCCTATCAAACATTAATACAATTTATGAAAACAGCATCATCAATGAATGAAAATGCGAATCCATTTTTATCACTTGCAAATTCCGAACAGTTAGATGATGAGTCTGATGGAAATATTGATCAATTAAAACGTAAAAGAAGTTTAAGTCAATCATCAACAGATAATAATAATACAACTAAACGATTAAATTCTTCTTCCGGAGAAACAAATGCTGGTCTACAACCGTTTTTACTTGAAAGTGAAGATCCAAAATTTTCTCATACATTTGTACCATGTATGGTTTATTTACCTGTTGTTCGACGAGTCACTAAACAAGTCAAAATTAATTTAAGATTAAAACCTGTTTTAGCTGATACTTCTGCATGATACACTCTTTCTTTTCTTTTTTTTTGTATTTGTTATTATGACACTCTATAGAATATAAATCTTGTTATGACAAGAAAAATACTCCTTGTGTGCGTGTGTTTGCTGTTGAATTTCTCTTTTTTTTTCTAATAATATTTGCTTTATGTACTAAAATGTAAAAGTTTATAGGAATGTTTTTTGATTGCATCTATATTAAATACGTTTAGATGAATAATTAATGCTCAATATATTTAAGTTGATAATGAAGATGATTTGAACTGTAAAAATTTTCAATGAGCCATAACATAAATGATAAATTACGTTACCCATATAGTTCTTCTAACTTATCATTAACTTATATCAAATCTGTCATTACTGATAAGATCAGACAATTCTTATTAACCGAAACACATTAATACCGAGTGTTTATTCGTATCCTTTCCGTAAATGATTAATATTTGCATTTGTATTATAATAACATTGCTTTCTTTCTAGAAAATAGATAAAAATCGAGACATTATTAAAATATTTTTTAATATAGATTAAGATTGATTACAAATTCCTCATAAGAATTGAAAATATATACTGATCACTGACCTAGGAATCATTCAAAGTGATAAAAAACAATGTGTTATCAAACATTGCTGTCATTATTTGGCGAATAACACATCAGATTTATAAAAATGGTTTCATTATCACCACATTATACTTATTATCCTGAGTGCTTGACTGTATAGGTCGATTATGGATGGTAAATCGAGTACAATAACCATGATTGAAGAAGAAAAAACTAAGAACATCTATTATGTTAGAGCGTTTCTAATTTCATCAAATGTATTGTTTGGTCAATTATGTATTTTTATAACTTGATCTGTATATAAATACATCATTGGATAAAGTCCCGAGTTTTTAGGGTCAGTTTTGATTGTTTTGCAGTGCGTTTTTTTCTCATCAGATTGCCAATAATGTTATTGTTTATCTTTATGAAATATATTTAAATGAAACCGTAGAACATAAAACACACAGGAAGACATAAATAATTCAATAAACAAAATTTATCAATAGCATATTTCTCTATTGATTCACATGCTGCTCCTTAGTATAACATTTCTAGTTAGAATAAATAATTTTTAATAGCTCTAATTTGGATAGGAGAAATTCATAAATTTCTGAATTTTTAATACAGCTGCAATTATTTCTATTCGCATACGATTTCGTTTGTCATTGTTGAAAAACACTCGACATGCATTACTGCAAGGAATTAAAAAATGAAAAAAGAATGAATTTGTGTAGATTAGGTGAAAGTGTAAGTTTAAGTGGTGAAAGTATTGCTTAAAGATGGATAAAAAATATTCGAAATCTGAAAAGCCATAAATCTATAAAATTGCGAAATCTAGAAGATACTTCAATATATTGTCATACGAAAATTTTTCGTTCGTTGACCTTGTCATATTTCACATATCATATAATGATATTAATCAATGAAGGTATATGATCGACTACTCATATCGAAGGTTTTATTATGTACTTTTAAGATTAATAATTTTTTTTTCTCTTTTTACTAGACGATATAAACAACATTTTATTATTATTATTTATTCTTTTTGAAAAATATCAATTGAATTTAACTAATAAATCACAAAAAAATATATATATATATTTCTTATATTATAAAACTAAAGAATATTTCATTGTAATTCTCATTAAAACTAGTGTGATTCTTTTATTAAAAATAAACTAGGATTTATAGAAAATAATCATGCATTAACGCGTACAGGCGATTCATGTTCTTGAGTCGATCTTCTTTTTCGTCTCCTTCGTCGATGAATTTTATGTGATAAAACAGGTGCAAATAATTTTGGTCCTTTACCTTTTCCAATATAAATATCCATATTAACTGGTTCAAATTCTTCAAATGATGTCATATCAAAATTTATTTTTCCATCTTCAAATGTAAAACTAGTTTGTTTAAAACGAAAACCCCAAAGAATTTCTCTTGGTTTATAACTAGTTCGATATTGACATGCATCACCTGTTGACTCCATTGTTCCTTCAATAATAACAACAACTTCAAATGCATCAGAACCATTACCTTCCGAATTATAAAGTTTTATTGGTGATATTGGATAAAGTGGTGATGATTGATCGATTTTATGTTCAATAACTAATGGACATAATAACATTAAATTTGTATTTGAAGGATGTACAGCCATATCAAAGTTTTCAACTGGTATAACATCACCTGATTGTGTTGGTTGTAATTTATAATAAATAACTCGTATAGCAGGACGTGTTAATTGAGTAATAATATTACTTCCTAGAAAAATATTAAATAATGATCTAGATTATTTTTTTTTATCTGAATTTATAACATACCAACTTTAAACATAAAACATAATTGTCCATCACGTGGTGCAACTACTGCTCTTTCACTAAATGTTAATACTTTCATTCTTTGTTTTGGTCGCGCTAATTTATTAAAAACAATTCCACCAACATAAATTGTTATAAGTGCACCACATGCCGATTGAATCATTAATAGAATAACTCCTGCTTTACATTCATCATTAACATGTCTATATCCATAACCAATTGTATGTTGAGTTTCTAATGAAAAAAGAAAAAAAGCTAAAAAACTATTTCCAACATTAACAAGACATGGACGATGATCAGTATTTGGTCGAAGATGATCAGGTTGAAAATCTCCATTGTAAAAAGCAATAACATACCAAACAAGAGCAAATAATGTCCAACTTATTAGAAATACTGCCATGATTAACGCTAATACTGATATCCATGAAGCTGAAATTAAATTTGAATACCAATCTGCACATGTACGACTCCAAACAATAGGTCGATTTTGTATAAAAATATCAACACGACCTGATTTACATACAAGTCTATCTGGTTCCCATAAACTTTTTGACTTAAAAAACGAAACCATCACTAATATATATATACCAAATATCAATACATTTTTTTGTGATCATTACGTCGTCTTCTTTTCCTTTTTCATAGTCACTCTTACTATCGATAAATCATTCATGCATAAAAAAAAATCATGTGCTCCCTCATACTGAGACTTATTTATTATCAATTTATAAGAAAAAAGAAAAGAATAATTTTATATGCATTGATGTATCATAGTCCTTGAAATTCGAGTTCATTATACATTTGTATAGCACCACAACATGGAAAAAAACACATGATAAATGCATCACCACCTACTCCTCCCTAAAACAAGAAAAAAAAAGATTATAAATATTATATTATTTACATTTTGAAGAACGAAAAAATAAATATTCGTTCTTTTCCTTCGCGTCATACCCGAATTCGAAAACCTGTTCGAATTTTAGTTCTTAATCCTGTATTTCCTATAAAAAAATCATACAAACAAATAAATATATTTATTATTTTTAATTTAATCGACTTACCTCCTGGTAAACATCCTGTACATAAACATTCATTAGTACGTGCGTGTAATTGACACATAAAACAAGGAAAACACCAATGAGCTCTACAACCTAAATTTTTTTTGTAAGAATTTTTATGATTTATTATCATCATCATCTTACAAACTCCAACATCATAACAACAACCACATACAGCTGTACTCCATTCATTTTCAAAATCCCAAACATTTCCAGTTGGTTGTGTTTGTACAGTTCTAAAGATAATCAATTTATATATATCATCATTATTGGATATTAAGAAATTTTTATCTTACACCATTATTAATAATAAATTTTGTTAAAAATTGAGATGTAAAAAGAATTTTGATTGTTTCAACGACTTTTCGTTTTATGCACTTGTTGTTGTGAAACAATGTATACAAACAGTGAATGTGGGCGATAAAAAAATTAAGAAAAAAATGACATTGACTCAACGGAATAAAAAAAGTTCGAAAGATGACGAGAAAAAGCGAGATTTTGTGTGTATACAAAAGAACGTATGTTTACTTAATCATCAGGCAAGCAGCTGCTATAACACCCTTTTTTTTTCTTTGTTATTCGTTCAGAGATGTTTTTGTCATGAAAATTATGGAATAGAATAACAACTTATATTTCAGATCTCAATATGTTGATTATTCATGTAAAATTTCGTTTGATTAAAATACTTTTTAAATGATTAGGGAAATTGGATGAAATATTAAATTCAATATGTCCTTGTCTAAAACTATTTTAAAAAACAATTTATGTTTTTTTTCCATTCTTTCATAGTAACGATGCATTAATAGGTTGAATTGTTTGATCGAACATTAAGTAATCATCAGAAAATTTTACTTTTAAAACAGCACTTGATATTATCGAACAGTTCAGACTGTAATCAGTAATAAAAGTCAAAAATTTTGATGTTAGTTACGTATTGACTGTTGTCTTTTTCATCAGAAAGTCATTTGGTGAACTGCCATTTTTATGTAAATTTCCTTTTCAAATTTATGAGTTTGTGTGGTTTTACTAATTATAATTTCAGTAATCTTTGAAACGTGATATTATTTTTCTCGAACAATAATAATGTAATCAACTTAAAAAAGATTGCATTCATACTTTTGAATAAAATTTTTTCGAAAATATTCAATTTTTTTTTTGAAATCAAGCGTGCGTGTTTGCATCTCGTATGAATCATCAAGATCTAATTTACTTCTTTTCTCACATAAACAAAGAAAATTTCATATCATGAATTAATCCAATGTTTTTATCTTGATGATTAAGTGAAATGATATAGTAAATATCAAATCATTGTTACTCTAATCAATCTAAGAAAAAAAAATTGTATAGTCTACTATTAGTTCAATATTGATCAAGATAATCACCATTTGAAGTTTTAGTAAATTATAGAGTTTGATTTTGTTTTGATAATGAAAGATTATTCAAATGACAAATTTTCAGTTAATATTAATAAGAAAACTTACATGTTGAATTATCATCACAGTGTTCATCTTATTGTCATTTCGATCAATCTTTTTCATCAACATGTGCAAGTGATAAGATGAGTTCATTTGTCCTTTTACTCATTCTTTGTACAAATGTGCATACATATATACACACACACACACACACACACACACACACACACGCATTGTGTTCAAATTTTACTTGATATATTCTTGTTGTGGTATTAAATGTGAAGGTGAATAATCTAGTACAGTACGATAGTCGACAAAGGCCAAATGAAATTCTTTCATATCATGAAACAAAAGGAGTCGTATCGTAAGCATTCGTTTTTCTATTTTTCGAATAGGTGTCGAACTCAATTCACAATGCAATCATTATCATTCTACATGGTCAAAATGAAAGGAAGAAAAAGAAAAAAAAAAGAAGTACCAACAAATGATGTCCAGAGGACGAAAGGATAGAAGAAGAAAAGAAGAGCTTTAATCACTTCCAATAAAAGAGAGAGAGAGAAAAAAGAAAAGAGAAGTCGCAAGTAAATATCAAAGTAAAGAGAAAGTGTACATCATGTTCAATAGATGAGTTGCATCCGTTTATATGTACATCTAATTTTGAATACATTTACAAAAAATCCCGCATTCTTCTATATGTATAGATAGATATTTTGTCTCAATAAAAATCAAATGCAAGTTATTCTTCTCCCAAAATCAATTCTTCATACAAATCAATTTCGTCCTATTTCAGTAAGTTTTAATCAATATATCAGTAATGTATTATAATCAGATTGATACAAAAGTATATATATACACATAGATGATTATATCTTCTAAATATCCAGTTTTTTTTCGCTCGATTTACGCTGACTCTCTTATCATTATATTCATTTCATTTGACTACTGTTCATTATGTATCGTAAACCTTCATTTTCGGTAAGTATATATCGATGATTATCCTTTTTCTAGATCAATTTAGTTTTTTTCCTCATTCCATAATCATTGAACAGATATACTTCTCAGAGGTTTTTTTTTTCTTACGTAGAAACAACATGTAGTTAAATAGATATACGACAAAGAATATTAAAAAAAGCTGTTTTACATATTCTTCACCGGTCTCTTTTTTTTATTCTCATTTCACATGAGTTTAAGTATACAGATGAAAGTACTCTTCGTGTATCGAACACAAAAGAAAAGAAAAAGACAATTGTTTGTCGAAGTTTTTTTTTTATCATCATGTGACTTTAATTTTTTTCTTTACCCACATCGCAAACACATTCGTACGCGTATTAGAAACGAAAATAGTGAGACATGGCAGAAGATAGTGATGAGGAACAATTTGTTGCAGTGAGTTTATTTCATAATACATTCAAAAATATAGATAATTATTTTTTATTTAGCGCACTTTATTAAATGATGGAGATGATCAAAAACTTCATTTATTCATTAAAGGTAGAATTACATATATTTTTACATTATAATCATTTATGTTTTTTAGCTGGTCGAGATGGTCGGTCCAAAGGTGCATGTCCATTTTGTCAAGATGTATTTCTTAAATTATTAATAAAACGTGAAGCTGATAACGATTTTAGTTTTGATGTCATAACAATAAATTGTGCCAATCCACCCAAAGAATTTAAAGAAATATCGAAAAAATTACCAACACTTGTTCATGGTGATATTGTTTTAAATGATGTTGATGATATTGAAGATTATCTTGATTCATCCTATCCAAATTTTAAATTATCATTACGTGATGCTGAAGCATTTAAAATCCAATCCAATGTTTTTACACGTTTTACTTATTTAATTAAAGATGTAACAAATAATCCACAACCATTAATAGATGAATTAGAAAAAATAAATCGATTTTTAGAACAACGAGGAACAAAATTTATTTGTGGAAATGAAATAACAGGTCTTGATTGTTCATTATGGCCAAAATTACAACATATTCGTGTTGCGTCGGATTATATTCTTGGTTTAACAATTCCAAATGAATTTTCATCGTTATGGCGTTATCTTAATTCTGCTTATGAACTTGATGCGTTTGTTAAATCTTGTCCATCAGATCAAGAAATTGTTTTACATTGGGTTCGTCGTGAAACATCAACAAAAGAATTTTTACAATTAACAAAAGAAGAACCAAAATATTCACTTGATATACCTGAACTAGATTAGATGAATTGATTTACTTTCTTTCTTTCTTTGTATTATGCGTGATTTTTTTAAGAACAAATAAGGATAGATAAGTGCCATGTTGGTCACGCTATTTTTCATTTAGTCTTTGTGCCGTGCAATTATCGTTCTTGTTTTTTTGTATTTCAAAATAATAAAAAAGATAATTTTAGTCTAATGGAAATCTTTTCAATATTTAGTTCGCTGGCGCGAGTTGTTTTTCTTTTCATATATATCTCATTGAATATTTATCCTATAAGATTGACATTAGAAATGATTTAATTAGTCGAATGAAAAAAAAACATGTTTTGATTAATTATTTTCCTCAGACTGACAATTGACTGTGTTTGTAATATATATATCTGAATCGAATAGTTAGAAATGACAACATCAATAGATCCAAGTGTTGATGAATTGTTATTATTACAAGAAAAACAATATCATATACCGAATTTTGTCTTTACGAATGTTAAACCAATTGGAGTAAGTCTTCTTAGATAACTGAAAATCGTCTTTTTTTGATTTCGATCTAGGCTGAACGAAAAATTGGACAACTAACAAATTCATCTACTCAATTGATATCACAAAAACAACTTGGACATCCATTGAATATGAATTTAATGTTAAAAGAAGATAGTAATTATTTAATCTCATCTGAAGTTTGTAGATTTTTTCAGTTAAAAAATTTAAAATTTAATATTATGATTAGGCATCATCTCTTTACGATTATTTTCATTTATCTTCAACTGAACAACCAATACATTATTCAACAAAGAATGAATTAGGATTATTAACTGATAATTCTTCTCAGATATCCAATAATTATAATTATCAACAATACAGATCATCACTCATCCAACAACAACTTCATCCATCAGTTATAACTCGACCACAAACAGGTTCGGATAGAAAACTAATTTTATTTACTCTTCCTTCTTTTTTTAATTACTTCAGCGAAACGTATACCACAAGTTTTTCCAACTAGTCGATTCTCTATTCCGAATTCATCACAATTCAATTCAAAAAATCCATTTGTAAATATTTCTCAACAAAAACGATCTATTCCACCCGTATTTACAACTCCATTACAATGTACACGAGAACGTTTTCAAGTCAATTCAATTGGTCGTCCAATTTTACGTACAAACAATTACAGTCATTTCTCCCAAGTACATAGTTTTAAAATTCGACCATAGAAATACATCAATCAAATTCTTTTATGGGTAATCTATTTATCAATCAACATGTGCTTTTCTTTTTCTGTTAATCAAGTGATTTATTCCGATAAATCTTCTATTTATATGTGTTCATTTCATTTTATCGGTTATATGTTAATTTTATTGTCGAAAGCTTGTTTTATATAATGTAGTCTTGAAAAACTGTTAAAAAATAGAAGTAGTGTTAGAAAAATATATTACGCAAAAGCATTAGCAAGTTTTTGTTTTGGAAAATAAAATAGGAATACACGAATTTATGACTGGAATGGAGGAATTGCATCACATGCATGTATATCATCTGATCGAGCTGTTATAAAATTACATAAAAGTCCACGACGACAATGATGATCACATTGATTTCCATGGGCATATGATTTCGTATAATATTGATATGCTAAACCCATCAATGGACCATCTAAATCATTTTTTAATCTTTCAGTAAGATTATTCCAATCATTTGGAAATAAATTTTCCATTTGATATGCATCACGAGCGTCATATTCATCAATAAAAATTGTTTTATTATACAGATTTGTTGCAGTTAAATTCATAATCACTGTACGATGATCGAGTGCCCAAAATGAACTTCCTGCATAATCACCATCAAGTGAATAAACACGATAACCGGGATTTAAATAAGAACTTGTTGTAAGTGATGGTGCCATATAAGCCTAAAACAATATGGTGAATATCAAATTTGTTTAATCAAAAGAATATATTATACCATAGATACTGGACGTTGTCGATCAATTTCATCGTAAAATATTACAAATTCATCAAAATGTGTATGTCCATAAAATTGTCCAGCAATTGTGTTCTCATATCTAGATTAATCAAGGCTATTAAGAACAATTTAAAGATAATGTTCGATATTTTACCGATTAACAATCTTATTAAAATTCCATGAAAATGATGCTAAACATGAACGTGGAGGATGATGTCCAATAATATGCACTTTCTCTTCATGATCTTCAGCATATTGTAACCATTGAATTAACTAAATGAACATGATTTCCAATTTTATATACTAGTGCAATTCAAAAAGAACTTACCCATTGAAGTTGATTAAGAGGATCAGTTGTATTGATTAACAACCAAAAATTTTCTCTCGAACAATAATTCATATTTAGTGAAATCATTCGTAAACCAGGTCGAATCAATGTTGTATAAAATGCTCCACGTTCTATACTTTCTCGAGTATCTTCTGATAAACCAAATCTTATCCAATTATCAGCTAAT